GAAAGAGGAGAGGGGCCTGAGATTATTTATGAACTGGGACAAGATTTTTAAGGAAGAAGGGTGACAAGTGTTAAAGAGTATCTCGCACCTGGAAGGGAGGAGTGTCTACTTTGTAAGTCACCGAAACAAGTAAAAATGGTAAGACCAGTTCTTTCAAAAGAGAAGGAAGCATGCCCTTGCCTAGAACCACTCTGTGTGCGGAAATAGAATTGAGCCACCTCATATCCTGGGAGGAACTCCAAAAGCAAAAAAGGCACAGATGGCCTGGGTTTGGATTGCCGTGTTTTTTTTCGAAGCTAAAGGGTCCCAAACTTGTCATAGAAGACACGGTCAATGTGAGACAATCAGGGAGGTAGTTTCCATTCACAGTAGCAGGTTCTCGGATCACCTGTGAGTTTTGTGCTCAGAGCACATCTCCGTGTAGACCGACCTCATTTCAGGTTCTTCCAGCCCTATGTACTGAGTGGCCATTGGCTCGGACAGGCCAGACCTAGATCCCAGAGCAGTCGCTGAGGTGGGCGGGCTAGGCAGCCCATGGGTGGGTGTAGGAATATTCAGAATTTGGGCCATCCCTGAAGCCTGGTGGTTAAGAGAGCTGGATATCATAATGTTGACCATGGTTTGAATTCCAGCCCCAGTGGCTTGAAAAACACGGTGGGAGGGCCAGCAGGTGGCATGGAGGGTAAGGCACTGGATTCTCACACTTGATCAGGGTTCAAATCCTGGACCTGGTGGCTTGAAAATCCTATTGGGTGCTTGTACGTGCATGCCCAAAATCCCAGGAAGGGAAGGAATTGCAGTATAGCCATCCCTTTTAGGGGGTGAGTCCTTATTTTCCCTCTCCCTGCCTCTCTCTGGGGAGCATATGTGACCTATGACAAAAACCTAAAAGGGACAGGATGGAGAAATGGAGAAGTGATTGTGGCATGGTCATGCCCCATTGGGGAGTTCTCTCTCTCTCTCTCCCTCTCTCTCTCGTGAACACATGCACCCTCTGGCAATGGAGAAAAGGAGATAATACTCAGAATTAGGAATTTCAGTGCTATATATAAAGCATGTTTTCTGGGCGCCTGATGGAGTAATTGAAGTTCTAGGAGTGGACAGTGGCGTTGTGGATTTGTTTCTGGAGCTCTTGTGTGTGTTGGGTTCCTGTGAGCCTGTGATTCGGGGTGAGCTGAGGTGGGGGCGGTTCTTGTCACCGAGGCCCTGGTGGGGTGCTGTGTCTCTTGTCTGTCATGCTCGTGGAGGAAATAAACCTTAAAAAAAAAGTATTTTTTAATCCTGTAAAGAATTGGCCAAGAAAAACAAGAAGCTTATTTTAGAAATGTTAAAAAATCAAAAGCAAATTGTATCCTAACTCTGAGGGGAAATGGACATATTGGCAGTGTTGATCCTGATGCCGTGTCTCTGAGTGTGCACACACTGCAGGACCGTGACAAGTGACGGTGACCTCTGCGTCACCTTCATATGGAGAACGAAGACCTGTTTGTGTACCTGGTCACGCTCCGTGGCTTCCTGTGAGTGCCAAAGAACACTGGAGTGTATCTAGGACTGCTTTTTTATTTCCAGTTTGCCCTAGGGCATGTGTTCTCAAGGACTCAGGAGAAAGTGAGAAATCCCTTTCCTGCGGGGGCGGGCCACAACACAATTCCTTCTCCATTCTCCTCTTGGGATTTTGGGCATGCACGCACAACAGTGGAGTCCAGCAGAGTTTGTTTTTTTTTTTTCTTTTCCAACCTGCGAGGTCTAGGATTTGAACCATCAGCTATGTGGGATCTAGTCGCCTTAACCACCACTCCACTGACTGGCCCGGCTGCTCCTATGTGTAGAGCCGTTGAGAAAGCGGTGAGGGAGAGCTTTGCGCAGTTGGCCGTCCCATTGGTGCGTGGAGCGTGTCTCTGTGCGTGCAGGTGCGGGTGCCCTGTCCCAGCCATACTGCTGGCCCGCATCCTCTTCCTGGCACTGTGGGCCTAGCTGGGGTCATAGGAAACTGGATGGACTCGGGGACCGGGTCGTCTTCTGGTTTTCAGAGCCAGTTTTTTGTTCCTCTGTGCCCTTGGGTAGCTGTGATCTTGTGATTGTTCTGTCCCTTTTATCGTTCTGATTGTTTGCCCTGATCCTGTTTATGTTTTTCCTGAATTACGGCAGTACCGTAGACAACCAGTTACTCTCCGTCATTTTTTTGGGGGTGGATAGAGTTTCAAGCACTGTAAAAGAGTGAGGTAAAGAAGACGCTCTGGGGGCTGCCCCACATGGGAACTTTCTGGGTTCACGTCCAGAGACCTTGAACTTGTCAGGCACATGCAAGCCTGTGACCAAGGCCTGGCTGGAGCTGGGGCACGATGGCAGCGTCAGACCCGTTGCCTGCCCATCCCTGTGCCTTGCTCGCTCGGAAGACAGACGTTAAAGAATGATAACGACCGCGCCTCCTGAGAAGCGCCCCTGGAAGCACCGGTATAGATGTCTAGGTGGCTTGTCGGAACGTTCGGAGAGGTGTTGGCGAAGTGACCGAGACGCAGCCCGTAGCTGGAAGGGACCATGGTGATCCCAGGATGAATGATACTTGGAAACAAAGGTCTACCGTCAGACCCAAGTGAACTGCAGCATTTCCTATATTGAAGCTTCAGTTGTATTAATGTGGTGCTGACAGAGCAGCCTTCCTTGGGTGCTGCAGGTATTTGTGGTTTGAAACTGCCTGGTTGGCACCCAAGGACAAAAATAGGACGTTTGCAAACGTCACGTTCCCAGCACGTGCATTTCTGCTGTGTAAGGGCTCCTGCAGGGATCCTTTTCCTCCTAGACTTTGCAGTGTTGCACTGTCATTCCAGTACTTTGTTGTGTTTTGCTGTAGGGTGCACGTGCTCACGGAAGGGGGAGAGAGGAAGTGAAAACCCACCTCTTGGGAGGATGGCCACACCACAGTCTCGTCTCTTCTATGCTCTTCTTGGGATTTGGGGCATGCATGCACATGCTCCCAGTGTGTTTTTCTCAAGCCATCAGATCCAGGACTCAAACTGTGAAGTCAAATTAAAAGAAAGAAACAGAGAGAGAGAAAGGAAGGGAGGAGGGAAGGAAGAAAGGAAAGAAGGAAAAGAAAAAGAAAAAAGAAAGAAAGTTAAATAAAAAAAAAGTTTCATGTAGAGGGCTACTTTGAGAAAACAGTTCCAGAGCCTTCTGCTGGGAGGAAAATTCAAGTGTAGAGCTCTCTGTGAAGGCATGCGATAGCAGAAAGCACTGTGAGGTGCAGAGCCCCACTCTCCCTCAGCTCGCAGTTCCTCGTCTTCCTCTCTCGGTGCAGCCGCCCTTGGGGTCTGGGAAGACAGTTGTCTACAGAGTTTTCTTCCGATGGTGTCCTAAGGGGACGCCCACGCTTGGTCAGGAGGGCACAGTCGCTTGAGGAGCAAAAGCACTCTAAACTTCTTCGGAAAGCCGCCTCGGGTCCCAGCATTTTGCGTCTCCTGCCGGTGAGACGGGGCTGAAAATGTCCCCAAGTAACCTCGGTGGTAGAACCCCAGGGCGCTTGGATTGGCTGG